GGGGGGGGACGGGAGGACATGGGGGACCAAGCGGGAGCATCAGTGACGACAAGAGAGGTGGCAATGGTGCTGCCTGGGGCCATGTTTCTGTTACTGATCTCTCTGCTACTGGTGTTGGCTATGGTGTCTGGGCGGTATGATGTGACAGTGATGACCAGATTTCCTCCGGATGGGAAGAAGAAAATCTTAGACATGACGCCTTTGTCGTCATCGTCGATGGCTTCCTCGTCGTCCTATTTCCCCAGCCGTTATGGCGATGAAAGTAACAAGGAGGAGGGATCCCAAGAGGGGGCATTCCCTTTCTCTCCTGCCTCCGAGGGTTCTGGAGGCGGTGGGGATGGTGGTGTTAACCGCGTTGACATCAACAACCCCATTGTGGCCGCTGGCTCTGCCCTGGAAGAAAAACGATCACGAACGTTCTCGATTCGGAAATGGCGTTTCCTGTCCTCGTCTCCTTTGCTAAAGAGATTCACTCATCGTTCCTCCTCCTCCTCCTCCTCCTCCTCCTCCTCCTCCTCTTCGTACTCGTCCTTGTCGTCTGTGGTGCATGGTGGCGGAGACACAGGCGGAGACGCTGCGGCGGCGAAGGAGGCGGAGTCCTCGGAGAGCGCCGTCGGCGTTGACATCAACGACTTCAGATCATCGGGCCTGGCGGACACCGGGCCGGAGAATCGCTCCGCCGGCCATCGGGATCTGTTCGAGGGGCTTCGATCTTCGTCTATAGACAGAGATCCCCACCTCCGCTTCTCCTCCTCCTCCTCCTCCTCTTCCTCGTCGTCTTCCTCCTCCACCATCGCGATCCCTTCCTCTCCCTCCATCTCATTGCCGGCTTCGCTGCCGCCATTGTCCACCGCCATGCCTTCCTTGCCTGGCAACGGTAATGCCACCGAAGCTGAGGCCCGGATGACCCTTCTTGAGATCATGTTTACTCACTACCTGAAGCAGAAGTTCGGTTATTGTATTCGTCACATAGATGAGGACAAGCAGCGCACTCTGCGGTTTGAAGGCTCGAAAGAGGACTTCCTGCGCTGCCAGAGTCAGGGAGGACCTTTGGGTGTTCCTGTGCGCAACACACTGTGCAGCTTCGCCGAGGCCAAGATGTATTTCGAAAGCATGCTTCATACCGACGAACTCCCGGTGAAGTTGGACACCGGCTTGCCTTACGTAGGGAATAACCTTAATTGTAATAGGACGGGGAACAAGGGGAGGTACTTGAAGGGGTGCGCGCCGGGGTGGGCGTCGGATGTTGACCCTTCCGTGGTGTTGGAGACGGTGTCAACGAACGGGCTAGAGACAGACGGACAGGGGAGGGTAGTAGGTGGTAAGAACTCCAAGTACCTGGAGACGGAACCGTTGAGAACCGATCTTTTGACGACAAAGTGTTGCCCCGGCTTCTTCTGTCCCCAAGGCTTAGCCTGTATGATTCCCTGTCCGCTTGGCGCTTATTGTCCTCTTGCAGAGATGAGCAACAGCAGTTACGTTGTCTGCTCTCCGTACGAGTACCAGCCGCACGAGGAACTTGGCTGTGGAGGTGCTCATCTCTGGGCTACTGCCGACCGAAGCACTTCCATCTTCTGTCCCGACGGCAGTTTCTGCAAGACAACTACCAATAGGTCCTCGTGTACGAGCGGATCGTACTGCCGACGTGGCAGTACCGATCCCAAGTCTTGTCTTATTCGGCAGCAATGCAAGGCAGGGTCTAGCAGTCAAGACCTGTATCACTTTGGGATCTTCGGCGTGGTGGTCCTGTTTGCCGTCCTAATTACCCTCTATCAGTGCTCGGAGAAGGCTATGGCTTATAGGCTCGCGCATCAGAATAGGGTGAGGGAGGAGATGGCGAGGCGGGAGCAGGCGCACAAGCTTGTGGTGCGCAAGTGGAGAGACGTAACGTCGCAGGTGTTGGAGTTGACCAGGTCGGTCTCGGTTTCCACACCGAATGGCGGCGGCGGCGGCGGAATCGGCGCAGGGGGCGGGGACAGCGTCGGGAGCGAAACGCCTATCTTAGGAGGGACGGCGTTTGGATACGGGAACCTTGGCAGCATGGGAGGGGGGGGAAGCGGTTATTGCAGCGGGGGGGGCGGCGGGGGGGGAGCATCTCCGCAGGCGGACTTTGGCCATGTGGCCGCACACGATCTTCTTGCTGATCTGGACGACTGGCATGGCCAGGGCCGTGTCAGCCAGAACATCGAATTAGAGTTCATTAATCTCGTTCTGACCCTGAAGAACTCGGGCAAGAAGATCCTAGATAACATCACAGGGAAGTTGTTGCCTGGGCGGGTGACGGCGGTGATGGGTCCATCGGGAGCGGGGAAGACCACCTTGCTCACCGCGCTGGCGGGCAAGAAGAGCAGCCAGACCATCATGTCCGGCAAAGTGTATATCAATGGCAGCGAGGGAAACATCGGAGCCTACCGTAGAATCATTGGCTTCGTTCCTCAAGATGACATCGTCCATGCTAATCTGACGGTGGAGGAGAATCTCTGGTTCAGTGCAAAGTATCGTTTGCCCGCGAAAATGCCGAAGAAGGACAAAGCCATCATCGTGGAGAGAACGCTGAGGGCTCTGGGACTGGCCGCGATCCGCCATTCGCAGGTAGGGTCGGTCGAAAAGAGAGGGATTTCCGGCGGCCAACGCAAGCGTGTCAATGTCGGGATCGAGATGGTCATGGAGCCGTCGCTTTTGATCCTAGACGAACCGACCTCGGGTCTGGACAGTACTTCGTCCCGACTGGTCATCCAAGCGCTGCGGAGGGAAGCCACCCGAGGAGTCAACGTCGCGGTCGTTCTTCATCAGCCCAGCTATGCCATCTTCAAAATGTTTCATGACGTTATGTTCCTGGCTAAGGGAGGAAGGGTCGTCTATCATGGCGACGTAGCCGGAGTGGAGGAGTACTTCGATCGACTGGGGTTTTGTATACCCGACAGGATCAACCCTCCGGATTACATAATGGATATGTTGGACGGGCACATAAGGTCAACGAGGAGCATTAGGCATGAGGATCTACCAGCACTGTGGATCGAGCACACAGAGAGGCTGAGCAGAGCGTCGGGAGGAAGCACGCCCGTGCACCTGAAAGCAAGGAAGAGATGGTTTAGGAGAGGGAGGGGGTCGTTGTCGACAGGGTCGGTCGATGACGCAGAGTTGAGCGCGGCAGTGGGAGGAGGGGGGGGGGGGGTATTCAACGGGGGGGGGATGTTTGGGAGACCGCCAAAAGCCGGGGTAATGGTAGGTGCTGGCGGTCGAAGTGGGAGCGGCGTCGGCGTCGGCGGAGTCCGGACACCGTCGCCGTCCTTCGTCGGTGCTTCTACCCCCCCGCCGTCCTTTATGGGGGCTTCCACCCCCCCACCCTCCTTCACTGGGGCCATTACCCCCCCTCGCCCGCCTTTGAGTCCGGATGTAATGATGATGACGTCATCCTCTGCGTGTGGATTAGGCGAATGGGAGGATGGGGAGGAGGTGGAGCGAGGAGGCGGCGGGTTGTCCGACTGTGACTTGGAAACGATGGTCAGTGGCGGGGAGGACGACAGCAGCTCTACGCAGCCGATGCAGACCAAGCAGCACCGCCGCAAGGGAAGTCTCTTCGGATCCTCGATCGGAGGAGGATTGTGCGCGGGTGGCATGCCGGACGTCCGCTTGCTCCCTGGCGCGAGGGGTGGTGGAGGAGAAGGAGGTGGTGGTGGTACTGGAGTAGGAGGAAGCGGTATGGACTCGGGATCGCCATCTGACGGAGGAGGAGGAGGAGGAGGAGGAGGAGGAGGAGGAGGAGGAGGCGGAGGAGGAGGAGGCGGCGGCGGAGGAGGAGTTGTGGTTGGGCGGTTCGACTTTCATCGAGGTGTGCAACCAAATTTACAGAGTGGGAGCAAGGGGTATTGGCGGAACGCGTGGGAGGAGTTTGCGGAGGAGTTTTCGGACATTTTCTTACCGATCAAGGACATGTCGGGGAGAATGACGCCCGGGTTCTTCTCCCAGACATGGCTGATCATTCAGCGAAGCGCCAAGCAACGCATCAGAGAGCCGTTGGTTCAGCTTCAGGACTACATCATCTTGCTGATTACTGGGCTGATCATGGGTCTGCTGTCGCCAGTCAACGAGGTGAATCTCGGCGCCGGAATCTACCCCAATACTATCTTGGCTGTCGGATTGCTCACGATGATCGCTGCCTTGCGAACTTTCAGCAGCGATATCCTGACCTTCTGGAGAGAGAGCGCCTCCGGCATCAATCGAGTCAGCTACTTCCTTGCCAAGGACATCGTTGATTGGCTCCACGTGGCACTCAAGCCGCTTGTTTATCTCGTCGTCTTCTACTTCTTCACTAATCCTCGCTCCACTTTGATTGCTAATTACGCTGTCACCGTTTGCATGGTCTACTGTGTGACTGGGATTGCCTACATCTTTGGGATCACTCTTAAACCCGCTCCCTCTCAACTCATGTCAGCAGTGGTAGTCCTCGTCTCTATGCTTATAGCAGCGCAGCCGCCCAAAAAACTCCCCTGGGTGGTGAAGATAAGCTTTGCCAGGTGGGCATTGGAAGGATACGTGATTGTGAATGCGGAGAAGTATACGGGGGTGTGGATATTGACCAGATGCGGCGCACTGGCAAGTAGGGAATACGAAATCAATAATTTCGCGCGCTGCCTGTGGGTGCTGGTTGCAATGGGGTTAGGAGCGCGAATCATAGCGCAACTGTGTTTGTACCTGTGTCACCGGAAAAAACAGAAATGAATCTGTTCATTCAATAATACACACCGTTACAGATGGTATTAACTGTCAAAATGGAAGGAGGGGGGAGGCGGAGAAACGGACACTCTCCACTCTCTCTCGTACTGAGTGAAAGGGAGAAGGAGGAGGAGGAGGAAGAGTAGGGGGAGGGGGAGGAGGAGGAGGAGAAGGGAGAGGAAGGGAGGGAGGGTTATTCGTATCGACATGGGAGTAATGTTTTAGTTACACTGCAACGATTGGTGTGCAGTGCAAATAGGGAGAGGGAACAAAGCTCTGCTCCCCAACACACGCATATTTATAGAAGATAGAACACACAGAAGAGAGAGAGAGAGAACACACAGAAGAGAGAGAGAGAGAGAGAGAGAGACATACCTGTCTCTTATACACATCTAGATGTGTATAAGAGACAGCTATCACCTCTCTCTCGTACTGAGTGAAAGGGAGAAGGAGGAGGAGGAGGAAGAGTAGGGGGAGGGGGAGGAGGAGGAGGAGAAGGGAGAGGAAGGGAGGGAGGGTTATTCGTATCGACATGGGAGTAATGTTTTAGTTACACTGCAACGACTGTCTCTTATACACATCTAGATGTGTATAAGAGACAGGGGTAGGGCTCATCTCTATGCTTATAGCAGCGCAGCCGCCCAAAAAACTCCCCTGGGTGGTGAAGATAAGCTTTGCCAGGTGGGCATTGGAAGGATACGTGATTGTGAATGCGGAGAAGTATACGGGGGTGTGGATATTGACCAGATGCGGCGCACTGGCAAGTAGGGAATACGAAATCAATAATTTCGCGCGCTGCCTGTGGGTGCTGGTTGCAATGGGGTTAGGAGCGCGAATCATAGCGCAACTGCTGTCTCTTATACACATCTAGATGTGTATAAGAGACAGACCCTGCCCAGTTGCTAGGCTACTTGTCTCGTCCCAAAAAAAAAAAAACAAACTTGTCTCGGCCGGCCGTGTAGCCTGGGCAAGTTGCTGGGGGTCACCTGCACGGGGTGAATCAGCCCTTTTTTTTCTTCTTTTTTTTTGTTCCCTTTGGGTGGCATTTTTCTGTGGATGTTGGTGAGATTCACATGCATCCAACCAAGTGGGAACAGGAGCAGCAAACACAACATGCAACAGGAGAAAAAGCAGAAGATAGAAAACAGAGAGTAGTAGACAAGTCAACAAGTCCTATCACCAAACTCCCGAACGCGGTGGGATAAGCCATAAATGAAACGTTAAGTACAACAAGGCTTATGGAAGCTCGAACCGAAGATAGGCATCGCGTCGAGTATCGTCAAAATTCATGCGAGCAAGTGGCGGGCAGACGACCCAACGTTTCGTCCGGTCGACAGTACCGGAACTCATCAGGCGTCTTCTGTGCATGGCCAGAGGATCCGATTCCGAAATCCCGGCTCCTTTTCTGCTTTTGAGTGTTACTTTGTTGGCTGTCAAGGGGGGGAAAGGGGGGTATAAATCAATTTCGAGGGGCTGAAGGGGTTTAAAGGGGGGTGCCTTACTTAGTCTGATTCCGTTGTTTTCATTCTCATCTTCGATTCCGTGAGGAATTCTGAGGTGACCCTCAGCCCAAAGTCGTTTGTATTGTAATTCTACACAACATATTCTTTTGAATCTTTTCTGGAATTTTTTTTTTTTTTTTTTTTTTTGGCACTGGGCCTGCCGGGAACCTCTGGCCAAAAGTGGTTGGTGATGTTCTCTTAAAAGACGGTGAAGCAACAACACTGCACATGTATCTGGAGAAGCGTCCAGAATCCAGATACATTCAAAACAGTACACTCCTAATGCACCTGGTGGAGAAAGGTGTGCATGTAGAATGTTTTGTAGTGGAGTGAGGACCTATAGCAACCAGAGGTGGGCACAAAGCCCAGTGTTTTGTACACCCCCATCTGATACTTGCCAGCCCTGAATCACGCAACCGTACTTCTTGTCCCCTCCCTGCTCCAGTCCTCCTTTTTGTTTTTCTTCTGCTTCCTCTTCTTTTTTTTTTCTTTTTTTTTTTTTGTCCCTTTTTTCGTGACCCCCCTCAGAAGATCCCCCACCACCCTTCCTCTAATCAATTACCCCAGCGCACCCTCACCCCCTCTGTCCTTTTTTTTTTTTTTTTTTTTTTCTCACCCCCTCTGTCCTAACTTAGTGTGGACCACCCAGCCGTGACAGTTGATGTACCTAATTAATACCTTTGTCGACACAGTCAAACAAACAATTGATTGAAGGCAAGGGGCCTCGCTCCGCTACCGTCTTCATCCGAATAGAACGCCTAGTCATTATAGATGTATCTGGACTGAAAGTTGCACCAGATACGGGTATAATGACCGGGCATTCTATTCGGGCGAAGACGGTAGTCACCACATGCACAAAAGACAAAAAATATGGCGGTGTATATTCCCACGTTCATTTTGCACATTGGGTGAGTAGTGGAGCCATGCCCAAGGTTGCAACTTGCAGCCTTTTACACTCTCATTCCTTCCTTTTGACGCCAAATCATCCAGAGGATGCATCCTCGCAGCAGCAATTGAAATACGGTACGTTACGTAGGCTCACCGAAACAGGGCATACTCATACTAGCACAGAAAAATCTAAAATTGTAAAATTTGTGCAACTTCTAGAGTCACAATTTCTGGGTACGTATACGTCACTGGCATGGGGACCCCCGGCCATAATATGTACTTTGCGGGCATCGCTGGAGCTGCCGGCCAAATACATTTTTCTGTGATTTCTTTCCATGTTCACTAATAAATTTGTGTGTCTCACACCGACCGACTGCACTGGGTTTAAATTCGCATTTGATTGACTGGTGTCTTTTCTGTTTTGTGCTAGATGCGGGAGAGCTAACTGACCAGGCCATGCGATGTAGTGGCAAAATCACGCCGAGCGACTGCACCATGTGTAAATTCGCATTTGAATGATCGGGCGCGGTCGTGTCTTTTCTGTTTTGTGCTGGATGCGGAAGAGTTGTGTGACCAGGCTGTGCCATGTAGTCGCAAAATCGCCACCGCAAAATTTGCAATTTTATGTGCTAGTGTGAGTAGGCCCTCGGATACGCTTCATAGGCCCTGTTCTTCAGCAACGACGCAACCAATATTCCCAATACGTTCGGCAAGGGACTTTGGGCCTTCCAGCCACCATTCCCAGAAAGACTGAGACTCGGGACGCTGGGGACAGGTCACCCATATATGTGCTGTGCATCTTCAACAGCGTGTGCCGGTGAGCATCTAATACAGAAGGCTTTTCCCCTTTTCAAATTCAATGCTCATAAACTCGAGCAGCTGCGAGTTTGAAGACAACTTCTGCTGCTGCTGTGGGGACACCTCTGTGCGCATTTAAGCGTAAAAGGCCTGTCATACTTGCGCGACTGGCAAAGGCGAGAGCAGCGCTGAAAGACTTGAGTCCCCAGCAAGAAGTAATCCATCCACCTGCCCTAGCGAAAATGAATAAAGCTGTTCTGACTGTGAGATCAAACATCACATCTGTGTAGCACACAGAATATGTTAGGGGCTTTTCCAAACGTCCGAACATGTTCGGGTGTTCGGACGAACGTCTCCCGAACGTGTTCGGTCAAACATATATTTTTTTAATGATTATATATATAGATAGATAGATAGATAGATAGATAGATAGATAGATACGACGAAACATATTTGATTTTTTTCAGATTTTTCTGATAACTTTTTATATATATATATATAAATATTTTTGTGTTCGCATTCGGAGGGTTTTGCTCATTTGCATTCGGTCGCGAACGTTCGTGTTCGGTCACCGAAGGCGAACACGATGCTACACAGCATCACACAAGCTTAGGGTGATCAACATACCCTTTTTACATCACTATTGCCAATCTAGGGGGGGGCTACAACTAACCAGGTCTTTCCATAGCAATTTCGTTAACACTTAAAACGGACGTATTATATTTTCTTGAACAAACTTGAAATCTCATTTTTTGGCCCGAAATTCGTGAAGTTGAGAGTATCGCGTTCTGAAAATGCCCTACCCCTTGACGTATCTGGACTCAACTTAAGTCCACACTTCTTTGCCTCTTTGCCTTTTGGCTGTGTGCAAGTGGGTCGATATGACACACGGGGGTGGGGGCAGCCGCCGCTCAACCTACATCCACGTGGGCGGCCTTGTACGCAAGAGGTTCTGAACAGGGGGAGTTATAAGGAAGAATATAAAAAAAGTTAAAAAAACTGAATTCATTTTTTCTTGTTTTTCTTTTTTTCGCATTTGCGCTCTGATATTCATGCGACAATATATCCAAGGGGTCTGGCGTATTCCGGCGTGGATGTATGTGGACTTACGGCGGAGTCCAGATACAATGAGGGGGTAGGGCATTTTCAGACTGCCGTACCCTTAATTTCATGAATTTTGGGCTGAAAAATGAGGTTTCCATTTCGCTTAAAAATTGCAACATGTCCATTTTAAGTTTTAAGTTTTAACGAAGTCGCTGTGTTTTCGATGCTCGAGATCGTAAGCAGTAAACAATACAGTATGGAAGACGACTCCGACGGCTCCTGCCGAGCACTCATTCTTAACACCTCGGTCTTCTCTATATGCTATGGTACGTCGGAATAATCTGGACACCTCCAGCACACTGTCAGTCAGTAAAGAAGCTCAGGAGGGCTGCCGCAGCCTATTTGTGGACAGCAAAGCTCACGAAAGCCAGCTTTATATCCAAAGTAGCGTGGAGGCAAGTTATACGATCCAAGGAGCATGGAGGACCGGGCATCCTTTTTTTTTTTTTTTTTTTTTTTTTTTTTTTAAGGACCGGGCATCCTTGATCCCGAACAGCAATTGAAAGCGCTCCAAACCAAATGGCTCGCTCCTCAAGCTCTTAACTCCCCAGTACTTCCTAAAGTAGTGCCCGTTAACGAGCCACAATTTTAGGAAACGTACGGGCCGCTATGGGAGCACCCAAATTCATGCGACTAGAAATGTTTCTACTGTATTTTTTTTCCACGGCCGATAGCTGGGCCAAGTACTGGTGGTTTAACTCTCCCCCAGCTCTCGTGGGCCCCGTTGGTACCGGAGCACATCAGAAAGCTAGCCAAGTACAAAACTCCACCTAATATGGATGGCACCTTCTGGCTCTTCTGCAAAAGTTGGGCTAAGAAAGTAGGAACACGCACCCATGAGGGAGTGGCGGACTCGAAGGATGGCTCAAGCGGGGGCTCCTACTGGGCCCAACTCCTCAGACTATGGGGTGAGATCTTTCCCGCAAGAGTAGGACAGCCGACTACAAGAGAGGAGGTCCTCAGACAACCGTTATTCTGCAATCCTTGGTTGAAGG